TTTTTTTTAAATCAGACTTTGCTAAGATGGTGTTGGCGAAGGAGGAGGCACTTTCCCAGTTGGCCAGTGCAAAACAGGTTTTTACTAAACTGAAAGCAGAGGTGGATAAGGCGAGCCTAGATGATCTCGATTAGAGAAATGAATATATTGTTGTAATATTGTTCTTATGAAGTTGAACTATCTATATGTTGTACTGTGTTGTTTTCCGGTAGCTATCGTACTGTGATGTTAAAATATATCTATGTGCCTGATATGAAATTGGCAAATAGCTGTTCGATATGAAATGTGAATTTGCGTAATACTGGAATTATTAATTATAAACTAATAAACCTGCTAAATGGGTCATGGAACTTTGCAAACAGTTCTAGAAGTAAAAGCGCTTATGATGGATAGCCCAATGCCACACAGCTTTCTTCATCAAATTGTGTGTGATGTAGTTGATAAAAGCAAACGGTTAACCAAGGCAGAGCGTGTGTGATAGTTACACGTATCACACACGAGCCTATACATAAACCTGTGTGGTATGTACATATGAACGGAAATGTTTTTCCTGGATTGACTGTGTGGGGTGTACATACGAATGGAAACGTTTTCCCTGGATTGACTGTGTGGGAAGTACATACGAACAGAAACATTTTCCCTGGATTCACTGTGTGGGATGTACATGAGAACGGAAACGTTCTCCTTGGATTGATCGTGTGTGATATACATATGAATGGAAATGTTTTTCTGGGATTCACCGTGTGGGATGTACATACGAATGGAAACAATTGGGTTTCGATGCCTCGCCCGATCACACACGAGCTCATTTTGCTCCAGCTTGTGTGCCAGGAGGGCCTACCCCCGACGGTTTTTGGGTCGTGTGGGAAGGACCCCCCCCCTATCGCCCACACTCACTTGGCGACGGTTCCAAATGCCTTCGCGGAGAGGGGGTTAAAAACCATTTGTATAGCACCGACGTGTACCAGTGTGTCGTGACACGCATGCCACTTAACATTACAACATATAACCATCTCATACATAAAGTCATTATCATGACGAAGGATATGCCACATCATATGCAAACCCTGCAAACCCAAGATAGACCTCCTCTAATCGGTTTGGAAATTTTTAATGAAGTGGCTTCTAGGGTTTCCAAATAAACCTAGCTAGCTATGTGCACACCTAAAGTGATAATCCTTGTTGCTAGATTAACTTTCGGGGTGTGTGAAAGAAGAGACTTAATTAAAAATCTCGTTCTCCCACACTAAACTTCGTCTAATACGTGTGAACCCCCTAGAAGATCATCCATCTTCACCACCCTCTTGCGTACGCGACGGTTCACTATTCTTGACTATGGTGAAGCCCAAGGAACTGTTAGCAGATCGTCGGCAGCCAGAGCCGATTGATTGTTAGAACCTTGTGAAAAATGACACCATGCCGTCAATGAACTGAACCGAAGCAACACTCGAGGAAGCATAGCAAGAACATCACCCTGACATCCACATGTGATCTAGATCGCAACCTACATCTACTCATAGAACCGCTCATGATGCCACTGTTGGGAAACATAGAAAACAAAAAAATTGCCCTAGGATCACCCAAAAACAATATGAAGATGCATAACGGGTTGTGATCAATGATCGTTACCAACTCCAGGAGTGCAGCGGAAGTAGACGAGTTGGTTTAGATCATACTTGGAGTCCCTCGAACGTCGATGACGATCCCACGAACCGCCCTCGAATGACCCCTTGGACGGATGACCGAAAGCACAACCTCTCTACTTGGTTGCAAGTGTACGGTCTTCACGATCCGGCAGCGCTTCGCTGTGCAGAGCTAATCATTGTCGGAGAATTAGAGAGAGGAGATTAGAACCACACGAGGCTTCTAATTATGAGGATTGGAGGTGGCTAGGGCTAGCTCTGATTAGTCAATTAGGACCAACAAGAACTAGAACTAGATCAACTAGAGGAGGCTCCAAAACTTGTATATACATATGGTGGAAATCCTCTTGTATATATAGGTTAGAGGGGAGGGAGAGGGCAACCACCAAGGGGGGGAGTCCCCCTTGGGGAGCCAGCCTAGGGAGAGGGAGTAGGACTCCCTCCCCTAGTCCAATTTGTCCCCCATGAGGAAAGGGGGGGCCCTTCCTATTTGGGCCCTTGTGGCCCAAGTTGCCTTCCACCTCTTGGCCTTTTAAGGCCCATTGATATTTAAATTAAATATAAAATATTCTAAATATTTTTAGAGCATTATATATATAATTTAACATCCCCAAAAATATTTTCCACCTATATATAATTAATCGGTAATGCATGGTATTACCTGATATTCATCGAAACCCTTTCAGCGACCCCGAAACGCTTCTAGAACCTCTCGAAACTATTCCGGATATTAATGAAACAATTCCACAAATATATTCTCATCACTCCTGTCCCACTAACACTCAGCAGATCATGATTACCTTAAGCTCATGACCCCATAGGTTTGGTAAACCATAGACATGAATGAAACCCCTTCGTTCAACGATCGATAGCAGAACCGTGGAGATCCATATCGGTCCCTATGATTACACGGATTATATTCGAGTGAACCTTTTCTTATCATGTGATGTTCCTTTTGCTTCGTGATACTTTACAAAACCCGGTGTGCATCGGTATCCTCTTGAGCCATCACCATGCTCACTATATCGTTGCTCATGTTACCAGTTTTGTTCTTCTTTCTTGTTGACGTGTTCCGGCATCCCTGTGACAAAGTAATTTTTGTCTGGCCAGAAGATGATGGATGCCGTCGCACCGAGAGGGCCCTAAGAATATCTCTCCATTGTTGGAGGAGCAAATCCCACTCTCGAGCTGTCTAGTCACTTGTCAAACTTTCTAGTGTGCTTGAAAGTTGTCGTTATGATCACCTTGTTACAGATGATGTTTGAGCAAACCCAAAGCCCACCGTCTGGTAGGAAGTGACATGAGACACTCTCATGGTCGGAGGAACTAAAACACATGCTAACACTTCGTGTTATAATAGATGATTTCAAATGATATAATCACATAGTATAACAGACAAGTATTGGGTCGATTCAATATGATTGTTCTTCTAACGTCATTACCCTCAATGTTGTTTTAGGACTATCATTACACTTACCGATATCCTAAGATCCGGAAAACGTGATCACCAACAACACTTGAGCCAGTCTTAGAGGCGAGACCGGGAACCTATTGTTCATCGTTTATCATTTCGCATGTGCTTATGAGTTTCCCACTCAATCGCATATTCCAGGATCATAGCAGTTATAACATGAAATATAAACTCTTAACTATGAATATGGAAATATAATAATACAATATTATTGCCTCTGGGGCATATTTCCAACAATTATGCATCTTCCTATTGACCTTGGGTGTGCGTAGGTGCAATTTTTTTTTGTTTTCTACTACGTTTCCTAACATAAGAAACATGTGGTTGGCGGGCCGTCCATTCAAGGGGAGGCTCGGGAACTACTTTGATTAAAAAGGGATCTCGAATCTAAATGAAAGCCAACTAAGAGGAGAAAAAATGGATCTCGAATCTAAATGAAAGCCAACTAAGAGGAGAACTCGCCTGCCAAGTCGAAGACTATAGGCCGGAAACATCAGTCCGAGGATGGAGCTTCCGTCCTCGGCTTTGAAGACAACTTTAGGGGCTACTGGAAGTGTGGACTAGGGGGTGCCAACCGATGTGACCTACAGTCCCTTGGCCGAGCCTACGGCCCACCGATCTCAAACAAGGAAGGACCCCGGAAGCCTCAAAATCAGTCGTGTAGACAGATATTGCCGAAGACTTGGCGTGTACTTTAAGGACAACTCCAAATGTGAGCACGTTTATTCCTAGTTGGCAAGTGACCATGTGCAACCCTAGATATCCCTGGTGCCTATATAAACTAGAGGATTTAGTCCGTAGAGACACGATCACAATTACCAGCCTTGGCGTTTAGAACACAACATACGATCCCGGGTTTGATCAACATATACTCGATACTCCATCATCAATATAATCATGTAGCACCTAGGGTTTTACCTCTTCGAGAGGGCCCGAACATGGGTAAACATTGCCTCCCTTGTCTCCTGTTCACCATTCTTTCAAGATCCACAGCTCGGGCTCCCCTGTCCGAGATCTGCCGCTTTTAGTACCGACAAGCACCCTAGGTACCAATATGAGGTTTGATTCAAAGACTGAACACAAGAGATGAATTAGGGTCTATAGATGAGATGGTCTTCCCCTGGTTTCACCTCGAGACGGTGGCAGAAAGTCCCGAAACTCTTCTTCTTATTTTATTTTTCTAGGGCAAATGGCAATATATAGTAGAAGAATGTTCTGTTGGGACCCACAACGAGTAGTATGTGTGGGATAACATGATCCATATTTGGTTAATCTCGTTGAATTTGAACTATTGTTGTACTAAACATATTTGCATGCTATTTATGGATGATTTGTGTTTTTTTCTCTATCCAAACTTTGATGAATTCCGCCATGTTTGATGAAAATCACCCGGTTAGTTGAAATCTGGTTTGAAATGTACTCCCTCCGTTCCTAAATATTTGTCTTTCTAGAGATCTCAACAAGTGACTACACACAGAGCAAAATGAGTGAATCTATACTCTAAAATATGTTTATATACATCTGTATGTAATAGTCCATTTGAAATCTCTAAAATGACAATATTTAGGAACGGAGGGAGTATGTGGATAGCGTTGAATGACCGGCTCCCGTATTTGTGTTCGTGGACTGGTCTTTTATCTGTGGTGACCGGTTTGGAGGGAGATGCCCTTACCTAGCATTTTCTTTCTGAGTTTTTTTTAAGCAAATTCTCTCCGAGGGTAACCTCGGGCAATCAAAATGAAGCTGGCGATATGAGTTGGATCCAGGGCCCAGGCACAAGGTACCACACCACAAACCCAGCCCATACCAGCTTCCAGTGAGCTCAAGCCCACCCAGTGAATGGCAAACCCACCTGCGCCACCACTTCGCCACCACCGCTTCCCCCGATGCCGTCGTCGACGATCCGGAGCATCTCCATCACAGTATCTGACGACGACGGCGCCACGGCGCCCCGGCGTACCCGCGCCGGTCGACGGAAGGTGGTGCGCAGCTTGGGGCAGCGCGCCGTGCGGCTCGTGGCCCGGTGGTGGCCTATCCTCCTGCTCCTCCCGGCCGTCGCGCTGCTACTCTTCGAGGCCTCGCGGCTCCGTGCCTCTCCGAGCCCCCCGCCAGTATCGAGCAGCCTTGGCCGCCTAGACCCGACCACGCGCCTCGTCCATGGCGTGCGCGAGCGTGAGTTCCTTACTCTGTTTCGATCTACTCTAGCTCGTCCCCAAATTCCCCGTGCTCTTGTGGTTCCCAACTCCCAATAAGGTTTGCCACGGATTTGACAAATTGCACTGTAAGAGTCGGCTTTCGTAGTAATTTGATAATGCGAGTGCTGTATTGCAGAATGTGCTGAGATTATGGTGGTGTCTTACTTAGACTACTTATCTGCACAAACCATTGGATATATCATGGCAACTGGAGATTTGGACTTAGCAGATCGTGCACATTGGGAAATGCCTTAATAGGATTATGATTCTCGAAGTCTTCTTAGTTTCTTACAAACCAAATGTTTGGATCTTGATAAGTCAAACCCCATGTCCATACTTAAGTAAAGTTATTCCAAAAAATCAGAGAGCACGTATCATGTCAAATTTGTTTGCTAGTGACTATTATTGGCTTATGTACTAAATAATGACTTGATTAGTTTTGTATTCTTGATGTTAACAGCGTGCCTGAAGTTTCTTAGCCCGAAAAGTATAGAAAATTTGGTATTTCATGAAGGCTCAGGACTTAATGCTGTGGTCAAGAGGATTATATACAAAACTGATGACGACGACTATGACTCACACCACTCTGAGGCAAACTCTACCTATTTACTGCAGCACGCAGAAGCTACCAGGTTCAATTTGTTTACAGGATTCCAAACAGTTCCTGAAAGAGAAGAGAGCTTCAAGGTTCTTATGCTGGCTAACATGTACTATTTTGCGGTAACAAAAACCTATGCCATTTTAGACCTATTTAATGTGTTTCACTACTTCTCCAGGTGAATGAGACTGTTAGTGTGCACTGTGGTTTCTATAGTGACAATGGTGGTTTCAAAATTTCGGTTGGTGATGTCAGATACATGAGAACTTGTAAAGTTGTTGTGTCTACCTGCGCATTCGGTGGTGGGGATGATCTATATCAACCTATTGGAATGGTCAATTCTTCTATTGGAAAGGTATTTGAGCATTCAGCATTCAGCATTCTCAGAAATGCTGCTTCTGTGTAAACCATCACATGTGACGGCTCTGAGGATTCAGGAGAGATTGACTTATGATAAAGCAGGTCTGCTATGTGGCTTTCTGGGATGAGGTAACACTATCAACTCAAGAAGCCGAAGGAAAATTAACTGGCGAGAATGAAATGATAGGAAGGTGGCGTATCATTGTTGTCAAGAATCTCCCCTTTGTAGATCAACGTCTAAATGGGAAAATACCGAAGGTAAATCTGCAGATGTCATAGTCCATTGTGCCAGCTTCCATATTCTCAAAATACTAGCTCATGTGGGATTTGACCTAATAAAGTAGTCTCTCTGTAAAGTGTAAGCCATATTAGCTATTTCTGTTATTTGGTAATAATAATTTCAGTTATGCCCCCTGGTAAAGTGAACGGCCTAGATGTTAAATCTGCTGATTTGTGTTTTTGCCTTAATTTTATGTGTAGGATTGCATAACTATGTACATTCTGGTAGTAAAATGCATAGCATCATTTTTGCAGATGTTGACTCACCGACTTTTCCCAGAAGCAAGTTACTCTATATGGGTAGACTCTAAATACCAATTCAGAAGAGATCCAATAGGAGTGCTTGAAGCACTTCTTTGGAGGACAAACTCTACCTTTGCTATTTCTGAACATGGAGCACGGACTAACATTTATGATGAGGGGAAAGCAATTGTTCAAAAGCACAAGGCTACTCCTGAAGAAGTAGAGGTTCAGCTAACTCAATATCGTCAAGACGGCATGCCAGATGAAAAAAGACTACATGGATTAAAAGGTAGGCGTTTAATTTTGACTAATTTAACTTGCACATGTGGATTTTTTCTCCAGGCTAACTTCTGCTCAAGCATGGATGTGGTATGAATATGACCAAGCTTTTTGTTTCTTTCAGCTTTGGCTGAAGCTTCTATCATTGTGAGGGAGCTGACCCCATTGACGAATCATTTCATGTGTGCTTGGTTCAATGAAGTTGTTCGTTTCACATCTCGGGATCAACTCAGTTTTCCATATGTACTATGGCGTCTAAACATGCCAGGAATCAACATGTTTCCTGTGTGCACTCGAAGGGACCTTGTGAACAGTTTGGGTCACACAAGGAAAGTAAAACCTCTTACACAGACGAATTCAGATTCTTCCGCGGCATGACCTCTTTTGTTCATTTGCGGACAGTCAACTAACCGGTGGTTTACGTGGTTCCAGGCTTCCACTTGTCTTGATCCACAGTTTTGTTGTAAATTATTCTTTTGATTGTCTTCCTTGAGAAACATCACGACTTGGTTGTAAGGACTTACACCTGTTACACGTCAAAAGCTGTTGCTTTTCTGTATGTTGACATTATTACCTGTACAAATCACGTTATCTTTTGGTTGGAAGGAGCAGTATTCCGCTTCCATTTTACAAGTATGAACGTTACCTCCCAACTATTCTACTTTACAAGTGCAATCTTATTCATGAACATTAGAAATGAACTCTTTTGCTATGGTTTACGCTGTTACCAACTGTGTATCAGTAGTCCAAGTAGATGCATATCTACTAGAATGTACCTATGCAAACTCTTTTTCTTCTTTTTCTAGAGAACATATCCAGCCCCTTCTTAGGGAAAACTGTTTGTTTTTCTTTAGAATGACTTGAAAAAAATTAAGTTTGTTTTTTGAGCAAACAGTATTTCTTTATTGATAAATTAGACAAAGTATACCAGATAAAAAAATAAACAACAAAAAGCCAATATAAAACAAAAAAAATACATCAAGTCCTTTGTAGTCGTTGACTGTACATCCATCTCTTGCATCTTAATTTTCCTCCCTCGATACATCTAGTGCAGAAACTGCAGAAGACCGAACTTGCACAAGCTCAACCAACCTCAAAGGTTTAAAGAGTCGCTCCTAATAACACGCAAGAACCTAAGATTGTTGAACGCGCCAAACTAACCTCAAAAGGTTTAAGTCAAGATGGGAATGGGCTGACCCGGACCTGGACTTGGACCTAGCCTCGTGGCTCCAAGGTTAGAAGAAAGTATAGTTTTCCCCCTAAAATCCTCCATGATGGATCAATATTCCCCTAAACTCTAAAACCGGATCATTTTCCCCCTGAACTCTACGAAACCAGATAAATGTGGCCCTGGGGTGGTTTTGGGGTGGATTGAAGGTGGTTTTGCTTGTAATCATGCTGACTTGGCAGGCGTCGCCCGCTCGAGCTTGAGCTCGGCGGCCATGGCCATGGCCGAGCTCGGTCGTCCACGCGCCAGCCCAGCCACCCCAATGCAAACCTGTAACCACCCACGGCCGTGGCCCCGCATCCTCTCTCACGTGCATGCCCTCCCCTGGACGGCACCGCCACCACGCCGGGTTAAAGAAGAGGAGGTGCGCCACCGCCGGCAGTGGCCTGATATCTGTGTTGAGCAAGGTGCTGTGCGGCAAGGCCATGATCTAGGAGTGCTCTCCGTCCTGGAGTTGCACTCCGATGAGGAGTCTCTGGTGCATCATGCGCTGCAAGCTCTCGGGCCTCAGTAAATCACGCCATGGACTCAGCCTCGTGTTACAATCAATGGTTGATTTTACTTTTCTTGTTTGTTCTGTTCTTGTGACAATAGAGACAGGGCCATCCAGGGGAGGGCACGAGCAAGAATGAGGCTGACGGGCTGCGGCCGGGGGCTGTTTGGCAGGCGCGTGCACAGCCGAGCTCAAGCTCGAGCGGACGACACTACTTTTGCCAAGTCAGCACCGTTACAAGCAAAACCACCTTTAATCCTCTCCAAAACCACCCGAGGGCCACATTTATCCGGTTTCACAGAGTTTAGGGGAAAAATAATCCGGTTTTAGAGTTTAGGGGGATATTGATCCATCAAGTAGGATTTGAGGGGGAAAACTATACTTTCTTCCCAAGGTTATATGTGAGGCCATGGGTCGGCCCATTTTATAAAAAAATTATGGCCTAGCTGACCCATTGGGTACATGAGGCCGACCCAAAATTAAGATGAAAAATCTATATATCCATTGTGCGTAATCTGAAGACTGGAAAGGAAACCAGGACGGCAAGCTGGACAAGTTGGAGAGGATGGCAAGCTTGCTGGCGACTGAGACGACGAACTAGTTCACGACTTCGAAGAAAGAGTGAAAATAAGGATTTTAAAGGTCAGAGAGACGAGACTGCTCCGCTCCCCCCC